TCCATTAATCAATGTTTGCTAGAGAACATATTTTTTGCGTTGATCACCAATCACAATACGCAATGCACAATCGCGAATTTCGCTCAAAACGATACGAACGGATGATCAATTGAATGAAATTTTCTGAAGGGAACAAAACATAAAATAAATACTTTTTCAAGGGAATAAACACACTTTTTCGTGTTGGAAAATGAATTCAAACAGAAATTTTGTGATAGAACAGAAAACAGGAATTCTCAGACCTTCTTCGACAAGTTCACCAGCAAAAACTTTCGCTAAACCTGCGACCGCTATAACCACATTCTGACCGGCCGTAACGCCCGTAAACTGCTGGATCAACTGAATGTGAAAAAAAATCAGTCAGACCCTGACCAAATGTTAGTCGAGACCAGAATATCACATAAAGTTTCATTCTACAACTGTATTAAAATATGTTGTTGTGAGTTGATGCAGGTGTGCAATCCGTACCAATATGCTTGGCCAACACAGTGAAATGCTTCACACTGCTCTCTCTGAGCATTTGATTTCTTACATTCATTCCTATATATGTAATTTTTGTTAAATTATATTGTGGGATTAAGAAATTTCAAACATAGAGGAAGTAAAATTCTTTTTTTGGGTAACAAATGAGTCGAAAGGTATTAATTCACCCTTCGCATAGTGCTCTTCGGGAATGACGATCGACGAAAAGACTCGTATCGCGCCAGTTGTTCTTGTGAGAAATTTGCCACCAGTATCCTCAAATATTCAGACGATCAACCACGAAGCGGAGCATTTTTTCATCTCACAACTGAGCAGAGAATGTGTATCCGAGCAATACTTCTCACTGCTGCTAATTTTTGGATTATAAAATGAAATAAGAGTGTTCCGATTGAATGATTCAATGTGGTCACTGCACGAGATCATAGTTATTTATTCATTCATTCATTCATTTGTTTTTATTATTTTATCAGCAGTTGTAAGTCATTAAGCGTTTATGCCTTTCTGTTGCCACTGAAACCATAAATATCATAGTCTTCCTTCATAGACATGATTTTTTCCATAAAGTAAATATTCATCGCGAAAGGAATTGGTCATCCTCATGAGATTTCAATTTCGATTATTGATGTGACAATCATATAGGTACATTTCTCATCTTGCATATTACTATCGCCCAGAGATTTGTAGGCAGAGACGAGCGGATCAAATGATACAATCGCACTCAAACAAACAACGAACTGCATTTTCTGCCTCAGAAGTTCATCGTATTGGTTGAGTTTTGGTGACGGTACAACGTCCTCGTGGTCATCCTCACCTTCGCCACTCCTCGACTGACCACTTAAACTTGCTGCATCGTCAGACTGACACTTAAATTGGAATATTTTCAGTCGTCACTGCATTAATCATTAACATTATTGATGTGATGATGATTATTGATGATTTATTCTCTGTTCCATTCCCATCTATGAAATCTCCTGAAAAAAAAGGCCTCTCTACGTAGAAAATCTTCAACAGAAATCAAACTGCCCCTCTTCTTGGTCGTAGACAACAAATTGAGCCCGGCAATAACGATTAATTTTAAACAATCAAACAGTCACAGATACACACACAATAACAAGCAACATCAGCTGGACAGAATAAAGAATTATATAATATGGAGTGAGTTGAAGTGAATACTTGATCTAAATCGACAACTTTTTCATTATCTCGAACATCGTCCGCGAATCGAACAGATGACTCCTTTTTTGAAGTGGACGGCGTCTCATCGCGCATCTCCTCTCGTGATGTTGACGATGCTAGTGCCTTTTTTGATGAAGACGCCACTAACGATAAATCAGATGGTTCCAACTAAATTAGAAACAATACAATGGATGGAACTTTCAAATTTGAAATTTCAAGCTTCTTCAACTAAAATTTTGCAACAACGGACGAATTTCCAGTGCAGCCGTCTCAGCGGAGACGTTCAGTCAGACCAGTAATTTTTTATATTTCGTTTTTTT